CGTGGAGCTCACTGTGGCAACAGAAGGGGAAATAAAACAAGAGAAAGACATTTAGAGAACCTTTGCAGTATTGTCAGTAACTCTCTTTATGTTAATATTCCTATACAGCTAAATTAGAATTTCAGTTGAAAAGATGAATTATTAATTCTGTGTGCAACAATGAAATGGTTTTTCAGAGAAATGTGAGGTTTTATTTCAGAACCTTGTAAAATGTAGATCCCAGCTTATTTTTTATCACTAGTTTCCTAAAATCCATCTACACTATCCTTTTCAGTTATCTGCAATGTGGTATTAGTGCTTACACATGCAAATACATTTATTCAAGTACAACTTAAGTACAAATATAAGATACTTGTGCTCAAGTTCTGTTTTGTTTGTTTGTTTTTTGCTCCATCTGTTTATCTGACAGCTACTCTTACTGGTTACTTTACAGATGAAAGCTGTATCAAGCTTTACTCTAAACAATCACTGTATAAAACAAAAACTACCTTACACAAAGGTAACATTCTACTGACATGTGGATGGATCATAAATATAATATATTTAAATATAATACACAGACGGAAGCCATTCTGCGATGTAAGTACTTTTACTTTTGATATATTAGTAGGTTATACTGTTAACACTTTATATTTTTATTTAAATATGTTTTGAAATGCAGGACTTTCACTTGTATTGAAGTACTTTTACCATATAATACTGAGTTCTACTTAGAGTAGCTGAAAACTGTCTTTTAGTGCAGATCACAATTTCACTGTCAAGTACAAAGTAAAAAGGATGGCAAGACTGAAAGAGAATAACTCTTTGTGCTAATACAGAATCCTCACAGACTCTTGTAACGTAAGAGTAACATGACCAAGCTACCTGTGGCACTCCTGCACATCCTGCACTGCAAGACACCAGTGCAGAGAATGCAGTGTGAGGCATAACTCTTGTAATTATTGCCTTGGCTTGTAGTTTGACAAACAGCCTAGTCAACAGATCATTTCTTTGTACAGTAGAGGTGTTAAATGAGAAATTATTATATTGGCATTAAGAACAGATGCCTAAGACTTCCTCTTTTAATATTAACATTTTTTAACATAGATGTTACTTCCTTGTTTCAATAATGTTGCACATCATTTCATCTCTTTCTCCCATCTCTCTATCCAGAGTCCTTTGTTGTCTGTCCAGAAAAGTAAAGTGAGACTCCACTGGGACAGCTTTCCTCTCACATCACAGATACAGTACATTGACCTTTTTATGATGTTTTCACCTCATTTTACCTAACTGTATTTAAAGTCCTTGCTAGAAATAAATGTTTATTTTTCTTTGTTTGTATTATTTGTGCCCTGCTTCACTTCACTAAACTATAACCTCTGGGTTTTTTTTAATCAAACAGTGGTTTTCACTCATGTGCTTTTGAAACAACGTATCAGCACCTGATGAAATAAGAGATTAGCAAGAGCTCTCTGTGCTCACTCAGGCTACAGAGATGTAGAGTCCTTTGTGTGCATGACCTAATCCATCAGTCAGACATCTGGATCCTCTGGCAATAAGCAAATACTGTTTCATCCAAGATAGTAATGTAACAGTAAATGATATGCACGGCAGCACAGGATACAGGATGATAACCTATAAACTTGTTATTTTGTACAGGTTACTGTACAGTGAAACGGAAGCCAGTGGGTGATGATGTATAAACAGGAATAATAGCTTTGGTGATATCCCCCCCTGCTAGCAGTGAATGGTACTGCAGGGAAGCTAGGTATTCAGTAAAAAGGACCATTGTGTGACCCAAATAAATAAGCACAGAAAATGGTAGATACGTTCAGAGTGAGCACAATAAACACCAGGACACTGGTTCATGCACCTGAACCTGATTCTCTCATGATACATAATGATGTAGACCAACATCTATTACTGTGTGGTGTAACACTGACACATTAGCAGTGACATATTAGCATCAGTGCTTTTGAGCTAAATGCCAGTTTGGTTACAGTGACAGTGCTAACATGCTAAACTTTAGCAAGCACAATGTGTGTCACGCTCATCTTATTTTACTAACTAGTTAATTGCAAGAAACATACAGCTAAGGCTAATGTCATTAGTTTTGCAGGTGTTACTGTTGCTAATGGACAAATCTAAATTTTGACTTGATGTTGCTGTTCAATGAAAAGTCAGTGCTACAGTTCACCTTGAGTGGGACATAAATGTCTGTACAATCCAGCCAGGAGCTGATGAGATGTTTCAGCCCGTACCAATTTGGTGAACCAACTGGCAATGCCATCACAAGGACTTATAAATGAAGTTAGGTCCATTCTTCTCCATGACTAAACTGTTTTGCATGTGGTGGTGTATGTGGTGAAGCTGAGGTTCATTAATCATGGTCTCTCAGTCACTCAGGGACACTGCATGCTGTGTCAGTCTACATTCTGCCTTGCTGTGCTCAACTTATTTTTCCAGGCAAAGAAAACGTACCTCTGTCTCTTTATATTAGCAGGTGCTACAACTGGGCAAACACATCACTGACTTGTGGGCTTCAATGTGCTTTGTGTTTGTTCTAGTTCATTCAGAGAATTATATTTGTTGTTTTTACTACTGTACTGTATCAGTTCTGGCATTGAGACATCCTACAACATATCTCACTTCTGGGCATTATCTAATGAATAAGAGACTGTTGTGAAGTTAAAAACTGAATCAGCAAATCTCAGTGTATTTGCACATTACAAACTCAAAAAACAATTTTTATGACAGCTGTTCAAGTTCTTATAAAACAATTATTTTTATTATTATTCAAAGATTGAGCCACTTTTCTCCTCTATAGTAGCCCATGTTAATATGTCTATACATAACAAAAAACAAAAATTGAACAATCAGAAGGGGCAGTTCCATAAGACATCCCAATTTAAACCGAGTCCCATTGTTGTTACTTGTCGCTGGAGTTGCAGCATTATCTGGTGTGGCTGATCAGATGACATAATTTGGAGCAGCAGGGTTTACGTCTTCACTGCTGTATCTCTGGATTTGTAGATCACTCCTCTGCTTTTCAACTCTCTCACCACACCTTCACAAAAGAAGAAAAATATTGCACTGTAAACAGCAAGTGAGCATTTGCAATACATTGAGGCAGTATAGTTAGATTCAGTATACCTGGAGGTAGTCTGCCTGTCACAGACACTGCATATACACCTGGCTTGAAGTTGCCTGTTGGATAGAGCACAAAATAAACACAAATGTTATGACTCAGATATTAATTCAAACAATCGATTAATCAATAATGCAGTATATTAACAAGACTGTGATTAAGACTATATTCAACAGCACTGGGGTAAACCAACTTGAAAGATGGCTTATTCATTTTTATTGAGAAGTGACTACATATATAGAAAATAAGTAATACAAATGTTGGTTGGTTTGGAGTTTCTCTGCTTCCTAGTGGTCAAAAATAGGTTCATGTAGCTTCAGGCACAGGTGCACATTCTTACCTATCCGCTGCCATTTAGCTACCCAACTGTCCTCGGGACTCATCATGGCTATCACACTGTGGGCAGACAGTAATGGTAAACAATATGAAAATACTATGTGCAATGTTTTTGGATAATTAATGTTTGGTATTAAATTAATGTTTACCCATCAAATGAGGAACTTGTGCATTCATAAACCATTTCTCGGTTGCCTTTCATCTGAAGGTAAGACTCACAATTGTCACAGCCGTCATATTCAAACTGGTCAATGGTCTAAAGAAAAACAAGGAGATTAGTCATGTAAGAATCCGGGGTTATAAGTGAATCGAGAAACATACAAATTACTCCAGATATCAGCACACGGCGTTGGTCAACTAACGTTATTATATCTGAATTTCCGAAGTTGTCTGCTTCTAACCATGGGTCAATGGTCACTATCTAAGGCAAATTTACAGTATGTTTATCGTAGCAAATGTGGCTTGTTACAAGCCGAAGCGCCTTATTGCCAACAGTCTTTCACTAATATTCAGTAAATAAAACTCAGCATGAAATAATTACTTCTAAGTTTTGGTTCGTGCCCGGGATATAATAAAACACAAATGTGCGCAGAGACTAACGTTAGCTGAGCGTTTATTTATCGCAGCCCACACTTTACCTTGACTAGCGAACAAAGAAGACAAGCTCGCAGATGGCGAAGGTCTTTGGGGACAGTTTCCAGGGCCATTGTACTAAACTCCTAAAGAAAATACTAATCAGTTACCCAACAATCAAAAGAATATGGTTTTGATTTTGAACTATAGATTTATATTTCGAACGTATTTCTGTCGCTGGCAATATGCGTCACTGACGAGGGCATAGAAGACGACATAGAGCCGTCCTAGTAATGTGCCTGTATAAAAATCTTATTATGCTTGAATTGTTGTTTAATTGTTTAGAGTTAACATAGTTTGTAGTTATTTGTTTTACGTTATAGACTGCACGAGATTACTACAGTATTAGGCAAAGATGGAGCCTTTGTTTTAGCACAGAGTGAAATTATACCTCCAGTCTCTCTCCTTCACCTTTTCATTCATCTTGACAGAAGATGGACAGTTGTGAAAGTATTTTTGTTTAGACTAGAGTATGTGGCTGATATTTTTTTTCTTGGTGAGTGTTAGCAGGCAGTGGAGGAAGACTTTCAGGGGGTGGGGGTGTCATAAAAGTATGTAAGTTTTCTCAACAAAATGTAATTGAATTATGAAATGTGAAAGTAAATAATGCAGAAAATTGTTCCTGCCATTGAGACATATAAAAAAATTCAAATATCATTTCTCTCTCACCTACTATTGAATGCCATATCATTTAAGAAACTACAATAGAATAAAAGTAGAATAGAATAAGAAAACTAAATTAAAGTAATTAGAATAAAACTAAATGGTACATCCTAATAGGCTATGACTCAAAACTATGTACAATCAGTGACAGTAGTGCAAATAATAACAAGAAGATTGTCAGATGGTTAGCATCACCAGGGGCGTTGGTGATGAGGTGCATAATAGCTTATGAAAAGTACATGGACAGTAGTGGAAATGACCCACAGCAGCAGATCTGATGATAAAAAATTACAGTCATGTCGTCCGCAAACTTGACAATGTGGTTGGTGCTGTAAGTTGGCACATGGTCGTGGGTCAGCAGTGTGAAGCCCCTGTGCTCAGTGTGATGGCCTTGGAGATGTTGCTGCCGACCGCACATTTTATGGCCTCCCTTTTAGAAAGTGCAGCACCCAGTTGCAGAGAGGTTTTGAATCCCAAGTGTCCAAGTTTTTGTATAAGCTGCTGGGGAATGATTGTGCTGAATGCTGAACTGAAGTTTAGGACCAGCATTCGCACGTAAGAATTCTTTGAATCTAGGTGGGTGAGGGCTGGATGTAGAACAGCAGGATTTTTCCATCCTCTATGGACCTCAGTTAACACTCAGTCTACACACTCATCCATCCTCTGAGGTACTTTGAGGATGTGACAGCAGCTGTGTCAGAGGTTGGAGAGAAAGTACAGGATGCTCTGAGGGAGACATGGACAACGTCTCACTGATGCTGACTAAAGTGGATGTTTCACTGCCACCACCAGAGCCCAAGACCAGAGATGGAGTCTTAAGACATTCACATGAAAACACACTGGATCCAAACACAGCAAATACATATTTGTTATTACTATTTACTCTTTCTGCAGTGCACAAATGCCATGCACTGCTAACATACAACAGACAGGCATTGCTGGATATCACCAACTCACACAGCCACTGGGAATTTACTGGTTTCATACCACCGGAGCTACAAATTATTGTTCGCTCCCGCAACAACAACCACCATCACCCCCAGGAAGCCTCCGAGGCACCAGGCACGAGCAAGCAGGCTGAAATCAAGGGAGAGAACCAGAGACGGAGATGCAAACGGGGCAAGAGAGTAGGGCTCCATGCTAGGCTAAAAGCTTGCACTACACGACCGCCACTACCCAGCCTCTTCCTAGCTAATGTACAGTCTCTGGAAAACAAACTGGACGAGCTAAGACCCCTGCACCCCACCCTCTGTGACTGGCTCCTGGACTTTCTGACTGGCAGGCCCCAGACTGTAAGGATTGGCAAAGGACTTCAGCTAGCATTATCACGAACATCTGTACCCCACAGGGATGTGTCCTCAGTCCCATACTCTACACCCTGTTCACCCACGACTGTGTCACCTCCCACAAAGACAACATCATCCTAAAGTTTGCGGACGACACCGCAGTGATAGGTTGGCGGGGACGAAGCAGCCTACAGGAGGGAGGTGGCTGGTCTGGTGTCATGGTGCAAGGACAATAATCTCAGTCACAACACAGACAAGACGAATGAGATGATAGTGGACATGAGGAAGGAGAGGAGATCTCATCAGCCGCTGTTAATCCGGGGGTTCAAATTGGAGAGGGTGAGCAGCTTCAAATACCTGGGCGTCCACATCAGTGAGGACCTCACTTTGACACTTAACACCACACAGCTGGTCAAGAAGGCCCAATGGCGGCTGTACTTCCTGAGGAGGCTGAGGAGGTTTGGCATGTTGCCTAGGATCCTTTGATGCAACTTCTACAGCTGCATCACTGAGAGCATCTTGACCAGCTGCATCACTGTCTGGTAATGCAGCACTACTGTTATGGACCGCAAGTGCCTGCAGAGAGTGGTAAAGACTGTGGAGAAGATCACCAGGACTCCACTGCCCTCTCTGCAGAGCATTTACCACAGCAGGGTGCGTAGGAAAGCTGCCTCCATCCTCAAGGACCCCACCCACCCCAAGCACGGACTGTTCATACCCCTGCCCTCCGGTCGGAGGCTCAGAAGTGTGAAAACAGGACTTCTAGACTGAAAAAGTCTTTTTTTCCCTCTGCCATCAGACTCCTAAACAGCAGACTCACGATCTACCTCATATAATTCCATCTGTACTGCTTACATACTCAGTTTGCACATGCATAATTGCACACTCACTGCTGAGTATTTGCACTTCACGGCTCCCACGCAGCATATATTCTGTCTGCATTATATTGTGTTCTTGTTGTATTCTTATTGTGCTTCTTTCACTTGCTGCTTTAAAGTGCCTTAGATTTGTGTTATTGCTCATCTACTTTATATTTCACTTGTATTGTTTGGCATTCATGTGGACGGCAAAGTAAAAATTTCATCGTACAGGGAAACACATTTCCTAACTGTGCATTTGACAAACACTTTGACCTTTGACCTTGACCTTATCTGAGGGAAACAGAAAAGCAACAGTAATGAGTGAACTACAGTCTTATTCTATTCACCCAGACAGATTCACAGAATGTTGTCAAGTCCTAAGTAGAGAGAGTCTGACTGGATGTTGTTACTGGGAGGTGGAGTGGAAAGGGAGAGGAGTTAGTGTAGCAGTCACATACAAGGATATCAACAGAACAGGGTAGTCGAATGAAAGTGCATTTGGATACAATGACAAATTGAACTCGTTACCTGGGACCGCAGTCTCAATGGTTACCATTAGTAACACACTACACTGTCATGGCCTAAAATCCTGCAGCACACGCAAAGTCCCTCTGCTCAAGCCAGCACATGTCCAGGCCCGTCTGAAGTTTGCCAAAGACCATCTGGATGATCCAGAGGAGGCATGGGAGAAGGTCATGTGGTCAGATGAGACCAAAATAGAACTTTTTGGTATAAACTCCACTCGCCATATTTGGAGGAGGAAGAAGGATGAGTACAATCCCAAGAACACCATC